AGGAGGAGGAGGAGAAAGAGGAGGACGTACATGATCTTCGATAAGGCACACTTCAGCCAAGAAGAGCTTGCATCATCAACGACGCATCTGTGGAGGAGGCGGAGGAGGAGGAGGAGGAGGACGAAGAGGAGGACGATGATCATGAGGATGAGTTTGTAGGTTTTTGTGTCCCGCTCCGGATCCCGACGCCCGGAGTTCCTTGGAGGTGCTTGGAGGTGCCCCGTGGCCTCTGGAGGCCTCCAGAGGCGTGAAAAGGGCATAACACGTTTTAAAGTTTTGCCCCTCGATCCGTGGGGGCAGGAACCAACATTTAGCAGGATCCGCGGAGCGCGCCAGGCGGTCTCGTAGACCACTGGGCTCTCCGAGTTAATTAACGATCTTCTCTTTGGAGGAGGAGGGAGGTAAGAAGCAGGGAGAGGAGGAGGGGAAGGAGGCGGAGGAGGGAAGGAGGGGGAGGAGGGGGAGGAGGGGGAGGGCACCCTCACCTCGCCTGCTGCTCCCGCGCTGCTCACCATCATTTATCCCATTAAGTGGGATAACGGCTTGGTACCATTGCTGTCGATCGTGATCGCATTCGGCACAAGACAAACACATTGCGACGTTGAAGCTCCTTAAAGATTGTCATGGTAGCGGAGCTTGGCCTGCCCGGCTGCGCTCCAGGTATCAAGGGCCAATGGCGTCAGTGCTTCTCGCTCCAGAACATGCGGTGATGCAAGTGCAGCAAATGGTATCGCCAACAGACGTGGGTTAGGTAAAGTGAGACACATCGACTTGTGCCAATCATGGCTACAGAACGAGGTGATCAGTGGAGGTATCAAAATCACCGAAGTGGGGACACCAGCGTGGACGCAGAACGCGATGGGCCAACGGTTTTTGACGCCTACGTTGTCGAAGTCTCTCGATCCGAGCTGCGCGGGCCACCGGCTAGTTGCAGCAGCGGCTCCTGCGCCTGAGAATGAGGGCGGGCCCCCGACCATCCCCGAGGCAATTTCGCCGCCGCCGACCGCGGCCACCGAGCCGGAAATGCCAGGCTCCAAACAGCAACGCGAGACCCACATCACTCTTCGGGAAGCGATCCAAGACGGACGGCATCTCTGAAGAGGCCGCGCGGCCTGATCCGGGGGGCGGCCCCGAGAATTGCGCCCCCGCATCACCTCGCCCGACGGCGCCGCCGCTGAGGGCATTGCGCGCCGGGGATTTTCACGCGGCGTTCCACGAGGAAGCCAACGCCGCGCACTCGCTCGCGAGAAAGGTTTATCGCGCCGGGCCGCGGAAGGACGGTCGGGCCACGTCGGGTGCCTCGACCTCGCAGGCTTGGACAGCGCGCTTCAATTCGCCAGGCACGCGCGTTCGGGGGCTCCGCGCAAGCTCCGACCCGAATGACGCCCCGCAGGGAACCGAGGTCGATGTTTGAAGCCCGCGCGCTGAGTGCGCTCGCTCAGTTGTCTCCAATGCAGCCTGCGGCCCCTTTGTCCAGATTGCGCCCCGCCGCCAGCCCGCGACTGCGCGGCCCTTCAGGGACGTCCCAGGAACATTCGGTGCGTACGGAGGTCCAGCAAAGAGCGGCAGAGCGTTTCCAGGTCGGAGATGCGGATCGCACCGCGATGATACGCGCCCTCGGGCACGTCGAACGGAAGCAGTAGCTGCCGGCCGCCGCGTCCGAGCAGGCCCAACGCGCGACGGCCGGACCGCGAGAGCTGGCCAGCAAGGTGTGGGCCTCCGCCGCCACCGATGAAAAGCGCGCCCAGGATTTCGAGTAGAGCGTTGCCGAGCAAGCCAGGCGCACCATCCGGGGGGCCGACAAGGCCCAGGAGTCCGCCGCGGCACGGGCCACCGGGGCCACGGAGGCCGCCGACATATAAGTGATTGCGGAGGCACCCGAGGCATTCCGAGAAGCCCAGGCGGGCCGGGCCGCCGCCGAGGTCGCCGCGCAGATGGCCGCTGCAGGGAGCACGCCCGCTGCAGCAAGCCTTTCTGCACTCGGCATGTTGATGCCGTGGACTCGCCTGCCCTGTCGTTGTTGGAACGACGTTCTTGAGCTATGCCGAATTCATGGAGGGCAATGAGGCCGCGGTGTAGGTATGCAACGCTGGCGGATCACATGAGCTCATGCGCCTCCCCCGCGCCCGCAGGATTGATGCTGGCGCAGTTGCCGAGCAGTTCGCGCGCGGTCTATTTGATTTGGCGCGCTTGCCCACGCAGGACCAGGCTGCGGACTTCGGCGCCGAGTGATTTGAGCAACCGCCGTCTTGGGCGAAAGTGAGATGTTTAGTTGCAAGTTGTTTGTGGCTCCTGCTTTCTGAAGTTCTCCGGGCTTCTCCCGTGACGATGATTATGTTGCCCACGCGTCGGGGATGAAGGTTTTGGTGCGATTTCGACATGTGCGCGCGGTCGACGGGCGCGAAGCGCCCGCTTGATATTGTAGTGGCCTCCGGCCAGCGCCACTGATCCAAGGAGCTCCCGTTGGGTTTCGGTTTCGCTTGGAGGCTTATGAGGCCCGTCTTGTGGCCCTTTCGGGGCCGTCGTAGGAGGAGGCCTCTTGATGGGGGTCTTTGAACCTCTTGGGGGGATGTTCGAAGCCCTTGCTGTTGGGCGTTCCTGGCCCGTCGGGCGCCGTCGGTAGCCGTCTTGGGCGCCTCGCTGTGCCGTTTGGGAGCACTCTGGGGGCGCTTCGGGGCCGTCTTGGAAGGTCTGGCCGTCTCGGGGGCCTATGGGGCCGTGTTGGGAGCTTCTTGGGTCGTCATGGGGCCATATAATGCCTCTGGGGCGATTTGGGGGGCCTCTTGGGCCGTTGGAAGGCCAGAAAAAATGAAGCGGCCAAATCCATCAAAAGCATGTAGACATGAATGTGTTGGGCATCTTCGGTTTTTTTGATGTCATCCTGTGGGCCATCTTCGGTGCATCTTGAGCCGTTTGGGAAATATCTGGCGGTCATCTTGGGGTCTCTGGTCCCCGGAGTGGGAGTTTGGCAGATTTGGACGTGTCCCAGCCCCAACCAGATAACCGGGCACAGGCGCAGCCCCCCCCCACCCCCTTTTTCCCCGGCGGAGCCACCCCGGCCCCGGCCCAACAGAGCTAAAGCTCAGGCTGTAGTCTGCAGCTTAGACTGTTTGAAATTCACACGCCGGATCGGCAGATTATTTGACAGGGGTCGTGCCCCTTCCACACGCGCGCAAGGGCTTCCGAATGCGTTTGATGAGTATGTTGAAGAACATATGGTCCCCCAAAGCATTCGCAAGAGTGCGTGTACACCTGTTTGGGACAATCATGAATCATGTGCTGTCATGTGTTTACGGGACACTCGATGTTGAGTCCTTGCCAATCAGAGGTTGTGTCTTCAAAGATTCCTGCATGCGCGCGCGACGGCGCGCGCGCGTGTTCAGTTCGCTTTATTACTGTGAGAAACAATGTTTTGAAGTAAACGAATGTGCGCACATACTTGTTTGCAGGGGGTGACCGGTAGGGTCGATACTCGTTTGGCCGGGATGGTACGAGTTCAACTCTTGAGCGAAAGGCAACACATGTAAATTGCACATCCTCAGGGGGGGTGAAGCCCGGCCTTGTGAAGGTATCCTATTTTTGAAAAAATGATCAAGCATATGTGATAATATATGTGGCGCACTACGTGTTGCAACATACGAGGCGCAATCTATGATGTGCAGCTTATGTGGCGCAGTCGATTTGATGCAACTGATTGTGGTGCAACCAACGCAGAGCATTCTATGTGGTGGTGCATCGCCTTGTTGGACTTCCTCGGGAGTCCTCGAGGCCACGGTTGGGTCCGCTTGGACCACGGTTGGGTCCGCTTGGAAAATCTGGCCTGAACGCACCCCTGGACAGGTCTGGGAGCTCATTTTGAGAAGTATGACCTGCGTACCACAGCTCTCGTGTACACCATAGCACGCCCAACAGCAGCTGGACTGAGCTCGGGAGCTATTCAGTCATCACCGGATCGCAGAACAACCACCTGGACACGACCAAACAACAAACACCATGACACCGACAGGGTTCCTGCAGCGCGGTTTCCAAAGGAAAGGGCAGCCCACTGGCCATATGACACACATACCTCAACACAGCACCACCATTATACACGGCAGCAGCAATGCACGACGTTGTGTAAAACCAGAGCTAGACGGTGCGAAGCAATGCAAAGCGATGCAAGGCGATGCAGAGCAAGACAAAACACGTCATAACAATGCAAAGCAAGGCAAAACACGGCATAGTAACGCAAAGGAATTCTAAGCAATTCAGGCCCAGACGACGGGCGGCGACGAGGCGGCGACGCAGCGGCGTTGGCGACTACATAGCCGCCAGATTGACCCTACGCTCAGATGCTCTTTCCAAACATAAAAGCCTCTAAATGCACACTCTGTTAGGGGAAAATGACAATCAGAATGAGTGTGCCGAACGGTCATTCACTGTCCTTGGGTGCGTGGCTGAAGTGGGGTGATCCACCCCGCGTCCGCATTCCACCCGCGCCACATCCGCGACTGAGACCCACCCACATTGCTTTTACGAAAAGTTCGCGCCTGCGGTAAACTCGATGTATACTTTGTGAAAATATGCTGCGGCAGGCTTCTTCGGAGCCTCGCAGACTGCCGACGACTCCGCCGCCCCCTCAATCATATCCGCAAAAGCGAGGTGCCAAGTGTGTATATATGTGTATATATACATATATATATATATATATATATATATATATATGCAGAGAGAGAGAAAGAGAGAGGGAGGGAGACAGAGAGAGAGAGAGAAACAACAGCAGCAACAACTACAACTACAACTACAACTACAACTACAACTACAACTACAACTACAACTACAACAACAAGAAGGGAGAGAGAGAGAGAGGGAGGGACAGGGCGAGAGAGAGAGAGAGAGGGGGCGGGGTCGAGAGATTGAGAGGGTGAGGAGAGGCGCGGGGGAGGCTTCCGCGTGGCCATGGGCCTCCAGGCGTGCGCTCGTGGCCCCGCGTTGGGGGGCCCGGCGGGTGCCCCTCGCAGTTGGACAGCTCGGCAAGGCCTTTCGTGCCGAGGCAGGCAGCCCTCGGGCTCCTGCCGGATGCTCTCAGGTCCTGGTGGGCGGGGGAGATTTTTCGGGGTGCGGCTTGAGGATAGTGGTGCAGAATGGTCCTCTCCGATAGCCGCGCCCCGTTCTTTCTCCAGCTGACTGGGTGGGGAGGGGGCGCGGCGATCGCAGGGCCAGCCCCTTCCTCTCCCTGCTCTTCTGCCCGTTCTTTCCTGTGGCTCTTCAGGCTTCTCCTGCTCTCTCCTCCTCCCACTTCTGCTCCTCTTTCTGCTCCTTCTCGTTCAGCTTATCCTGTTGCTCCGGCTCTGCTGCTCTGCTCTGGGCGCATACGTTTGTGTCAGGCCCCTGAGCAGGAAGACGGGTATATTGTCAAGCGGAATCTGAGTTGAGTCCCCCAGCAGTTGCCACAATGTTCTGCATTATTTGGTTGCAGTTACCAGCTGAGATGTAAATACTGTTGTGCCTTCGATGAAAACGTCGCCCTCCCAGAAATCTTGCCCTCCCATGGCCCTATGCGTATTCGCTTACACAGACTGGACGCCGCAGGGCCGGGATATTTTGGAATGTGGTCTTGGTTATGGTTTCGGTGATTATTTATCTGTCTAGTGTTCTCCTGGTCAAGACAACCGCTCCGATCCACCGCTGTGAGTCCATGTTCTGCCTCGTGACATGCCCGCGTGTGGATATACCGGGATTGTCGCCTGTGCAGGGCACTGGATTGAGTTGGGGCAAGTCGGTGTGAGTGGCAGTTGGAGGGAGTGCTGGAAATGTGTGCCGAGGGTGTTCGCCGCGCTGCCCAGCTGCCCTGCCACGTGGGCTATTCACCACCTTAGGGCCGCATCACGCACGTGCCCGTACCGACGGCAGGGCGGAATTTTATTCGCGGGACGAGAGCCGGTGCCCGCCCGCCGTTTCATATCCGCCTGTTGCTCCTCCCCTGACCCCATCGCGCCGTGGAAAAAAACATATCACGCAGTGATTCCATTCTTGCCGTTTCACAAATTCTGTCCCTCCAAGGGAGGTCAACGCCTGGGTACCGTTGAGTTTTCGGAGAAGGCCACGTGTTTGCCTGCATGCGTGTCTGTATGCCTCCTCCACTCATCTTCCTTTTTTGCCTTTATTGCCGCATCTCTTGTCCCTCTTACTCTATGTTTCGGCGCTCTCTCTCTCTCTCTGTCTTTCTCTCTCTCTTTCTCTGCCTCACTGTCTTGCAGGGGCTGTGTGGATTCCTCAACGCGTGAACTGCACGTTCGCCGGAAAAAATGAAAAAGTAGTCGCCGTAAACAAAGTGTCACAGGGAAGGGAGAGGAGGCCTCGGCTTTACAGAAGAGAGAGCACGGGTGCAGCAGACAAACACAACGCCAATGTATCCAGTTCGGTATTATTTGTCGCACTGGCATCGTGGATCGCATGAAGCAGAGGACAGCACGCGGTGTATGGGCGCAGAAGACGCCAAGACGCCGTGCAGACCGAATGGCAAAAACGAGTTGGACAAGATCAGCGTGGCCACGGCGTGCCCAGCGCCCAAGGATGGACACAATCAGGCAGTCGGGCGGAATGGTCTCCTAAGGCTAAAGGGTCACCCTCGAAAGTGTTTCAGGGCACCACAGGCGTATCCTTGAGCGTATCGCGCGGACTTTTGCATACGGGCAAACTCAACGCAGACGGTGTCACACATGTTAGGCGCAGACGGACTCCATCGCTGGTTTTGCGGACAGATTTGCGCATTTCGTTTTCATAGTATTGCATTTCCGCCCCCTCGTCTTGCTTCTTGATTCTCCCCTCCTCCAAATCCTGGTCCCCGTCTTCTCTCCCCCATGGTCCCCCCATCTCCCTCTGCTGTCCTCCCCTGCCTTCATTTTTCACCTCCATTCCGCAGTCTTCTGGCATTTCCCTATCCCCTTCTCCTTCCCAAAATTCCTCTTCCCCCTTGCCCATTTCTCCCCTTTTCACCCTTCACCCCTACTCTCCCCGCGGCGACCCCGTTTGCCACTTGACGCTTCAGGTACCCGATCAGAGACGAATATCAGGGGAGTTGTCGTCAGAGGTTGAGTTGACGAGCAGTTGTGAAGCAACGACGAGGACACTGATTAAACCGAAGAAGGGAGCAGCCGAAGCTGCCCACCAACACGGCCAACATGAGGCCTCCTTGGAGGCCTCCTTGGAGGCCTTTTCGGGCCCTTCTCGAAAACGCGGAGAAAGAAGAGACGGAGGGAGGGAAGGCGGTGAGGGAAGGAAGGAGGGGAAGCGCAGCTGAATTGCGGAGCCCAGGGCCCTCGGGGCAGGCCCGGCAGCGCCAGTGCCAGCACCACGGCATCTGGGTGTTCATCACCACGCAGCGTGGGCGATCACGAGGAGCGTCCGCCGTGAATTCCTGGTGCATTGGCTCGGTCGGGCTTTCAAGGGTGTCGGAGGTTCGGTCGGCCTGGTTGCGACGCAGCCGGTTGCGAGCGGTCGGTTCGGTACGGTCGGTTGTTGTGCAGGTGCTACGTCGCTTCGCCCATTTTGGCTGCGTGCGGCCTGTCAGTTTGTGTTGGTGCCGCTGTGGCTGTCGGTTCGGTCGGTTTTCGTCTGTGCTGTCGCCGTGAACGGCCTTGGCTCTTGGCAGCTCCCGAGGATGTCGAGCAGCTATCGGCAGGTGTTCGGAGCATCTTGACGGCTCTGCCAGGATCTCCCAATGTATCCGAGAGTCCGAAGGCACCGTTCAGCTTGCTTGTCACTCCTAGAACCCTATAACTCGGATAGTGCCAGGTTCATGTTGTCTGACAACGTTACCTGTAGGTTTCGCATCAACCTGCCCTGTTGTGTGGTCCTTCATGAGAGCCTCGGAAGGTTCCACAATTCGTTCTGCGGCTTGGGAGATTTCGTTCAGAGTTCGTCGGATGTGGTAGACATTTGGACGACATCTGATCGAAACCTGGGCGAACGAGTGAAGAGAGGTGATCGAAATCTGAACGAAACACGGTCGAAATCACGTTTGGTCCTCAGGGGCTCCCGTGAAGGATCACGCAGGCTTTGCCGCGTATTGGCGCCACCGCGCTTGAATGTAGGTCCGCGAGGTGCACCGCGAGTCAGTATCTAATTTTTATTATTTGGCACTACAAGGTGGACGTTGTTGTTGGCCTTCTGGGATGTTTTTCATTGTCATGTTGAGCAGTTCGGGGGGCACCATGGAGTCTTAGCTGGCCTGTGGGACGTCCTGGGATTCGTTGCAGACTTGACAGCGTATTGGGTGGCCTCAGAGCGCTCTGGGTCGGCTCGGGTCAATGTTGGGGCCGTCTTTGTGGCCGCCTAGAACCAGAGAAGAAACATGCATCGACTTTTGGACAGCTGCTTGTGAGCCGCTTGTCGAGTCTCTGAGTTCGTAACCCAGTCTCGGAGGAGGTTTCGGGTTACGCCGAGGAGCTCCAGGGGTGAACAGGAGACCGTGAAGGTGGAGGAGGATAGAAAACATGGAGTAGGGCAGGAGGCAGAGAGAGAGAGAGAGGAGGCAGGTGGCCAGCATCCACAAAATAAAGAGAACGCCAGATACGACAACATATCTCTAGCACACTTGTCGGAGACGGCGAGGAATTCAAACAAAGCACGCGAAACCGTGAGCGAATTCGTTTGTGAACTTCAGTCTCATCTTAGGGAGTGATTATCCAGGAGGGAGGGGCACCGCCATGGTCGCCTCCCTTCTGCTAGACTGCAAGTCTTTCGACGAGGAAGGCCTGCCCGCGCGGTCAGGGCAGCCACAGTTGGGGGACGTGTGCTCCTTACCCCCCTCGGTGACCCATTGGCTTGGACACCCCTTTTCGATAGATAGTCGATACGATGGGCTTACTGACGGGGGGCAAGGAGCACAAATCCCCCAGTTGTGGGGCCGCGCCCTTCCCTCGTTCGCCCCGCCAACACTTCGCAGCCGGCTCGGAAGACTGGTGCCCCAAGGGAGGTGTGTGGTCTCAGGAGGAGGAGGTCGGAGGGAGGACGAGAACAGGGTAGGAGGGAAGAAGGCGGAGCAGGGAGCAGAGCACAATATCACACCATACACCAGGCGCTTCTGTGTTGCTGAGGCTGCTTGCATCCCTTGGCCTTTTGCCCAGACAGAGTTGTCGCCAATTGCACATGCGCCTGACAGCGGTAACGCCCGCAAATCATTGTTCCTCTTCCTCTGTTCTTCTGACAGACAGACAGACAGACAGACATGCCATACGCCAGAGCGCGTGGGCAGAAAAAGCATGCAACGCCAGCCTGGTCTCTCCGCTTTGCGGGAGCGGCGGGGTGCAGGACAGATTTGTTAGGCTGCGTCGTGCGTGTCAGGAGGCGGAGGAGGAGGACGAAGGAAAGGAAAAAAGGAATGATACCAGAGAAAACAAAACAATCAGAATTTGGGGGGGCTATGGGGCTTTAGGGCTTTAGGGCTTTAGGGCTATGGGGCTATAGGGCTATAGGGCGATGTGGCCATAGGGATATAGGGCTAGAAGCCTTTAGGGCTATGTACGGCTATATACGGCTATAGGGCTTTAGGACCATAGGGTTATAGGGCTATAGGGCTATAGGGCTATAAGGCTATAGGGCTATAGGGCTATAGGGCTATGGGGCTATGGGGCTATGGGGCTATTGGGCTATTGGGCTATTAGGCTATAGGGCTATCGGAGGTGAGGGGGTGAGATCGAAGTGGAACGGCGAGCCCCCCACCGGGAAATCGGTTTCGGTTTCGTGTTCGTGCGTGCCGTGCGTGCGAGGCGAAGCTGCGTGGGCGGGCGAGAAAAAGTCTCCTGTGGCTGAGGCGCGGCCGGACCAAATGTTTCTCATCCGGGGCGCGGGGCCCCGCGGTGTCCCGCCGGTGTCCCGCCGGTGTCCCGAGGTGTCCCGCGAGGATGATGATGAGATGATGATGATGATGACGATGATGATGATGATGGTGATGAGATGATGATGATGATGGTGTCCCGATGAAGATGATGATGATGATGCTGGTGATGAGATGATGCTGATGGTGTCCCGATGAAGATGATGATGATGATGATGATGATGATGATGATGATGTTGATGATGGTGTCGATGATGATGATAGTGTCCCGATGATGAGAATGATGATGCTCATGATGATTATGTTAATGATGATGACGATGATGATGTCCCGATGATGATGATGATGATGATGATGATGATGGTGATGATTCCGATGATGTTGGTGATGATGATGGAAATGGTGTCCCGGCGATAATGATGTTGATGATGATTATGGTGTCCCGATGATGATGATGATGATGATGATGATGATGATGATGATGATGATGATGATGATGATGATGATGGTGATGATGATGATGATGATGATGGTGATGCTGATGGTGTCCCGATGATGATAATAATGATAATGACGATGTTGATGATGATGTTGCTCATGATGGCGATGGTGCCCCAATGATGATGATGTTGCTGATGATGATGATGTCGATGATGATGATGCGATGATCATGATGATGATGGTGTCCCGAGGATGATGACGATGTTGATGATAGTGTTGATGATGAGAACGATGGTGATCATGATGGTGTCCCGATTATGATGCTGATTCTGATGATGCTGCTGATGATGATGACGATGACTGTGTCCCGGTGATGATGAAGTTGATGATGAGATGATGATGGTGATGATGATGATGATGATGATGATGATGATGATGATGATGATGTTGTCCCGATGATGATGCTGACGTTGATGATGATGTTTATGATGGTGATGCTGATGATGATGATGATTGTGCCCTCCTGCTGATGACGATGTTGGTGATGATGTTGATGTTGATGATGTTGATGATGATGATGATGACGTTGATTGTGAGAGCGATTGTGATATCGATAGTGAGATCGATATTGAGACCGAATGTGAGATCGATTGTGTGACCGATTGTGAGATCGATTGTGAGATCAATTGTGAGATCGATCGATTGAGATAGATCGAGTGAGATCGATTGTGAGATCGATCGAGTGAGATCGATCGAGCGAGACCGATAGTGAGATCGATACTGAGATCGATAGTGAGACCGATCGAGTGAGACGTTGGTTCCCTCCCCCGAACCACCTTATCACCCGAAGGGTGGTCGTATAGGTACGGCTATAGGGCGATAGGGCTATAGTGCTATAGGGATATATGGCGATTGGGCTATTGGGCTATAGGGATATAGGGCTATTGGGCTAGGCACCCCCGGGCACTTCTGGGCACCCCGGGCACCCCTGGGCACCCGGGCACCCCCGGGCACCCCTGGGCACCCGGCCCTGGGCCACCGAAATCGGCCACACACCCGGGCACCCGGGCACCCCTGGGAACCCCTGGGCACCCGGGCACCCGGGCACCTGGCCACCGAAATCGGCCGCCCACCTCACCTCAGCTTTATATCCGCTAGGACCCCTACACAGGCAAGCTCTGTTTGGGGAATGAACAACGTCAACGACAAATCTGCGGCAAGAGCTTGGCTCTGCAATTCGCTGCGCCATGCCATGCTGTCTTCATCCGGAAAACGTGGAGCAACAGTGGCCACGAGGCTCTTCGCCCACTCATTTCTAGGCCTCCTAGCAGCCCGGACGCACGCGTCTGTCGTTGAGCGCACGTTGTTTGGCAAAAAAATTAAGCGTCGCAACAAGTCTGAAACGCTAGATCTACATATTCTTCCGAACCGCAACAGTCGGTGTCTTAAAAATGCTGGGCAGCATACGCTTGCTGACCTGAGCGCAGTAAGGCTGATTCGAGACCCTTGAAACGTAAGCTTGCGGACTGCGCAAAATGCGTCGGAGCCGCCTAGACGCCTCCGCTCAGCTTTGTTGCGTCAAGCTGAGTTCAAGGAGTGCATATTTTTACTGGTTACAAGTGCTTGGACAACTTGCAAGTTCCTATCTCTGCGAATTGACGTGTGCTTCAACGCGCGACTGTGCCTGCAACGCCCGCCCCACGCAGCGCCTAATCGTTTATTTAATTCGGGTTCAAGTCGCCCTGACCTTGCGACTGTGGCCCCCAGATCTACCAGTGAGTCCCTCGCTGGGATAGGCACCCCAGCAGGGGTCCAAATTTCAATGTCGCAACATCATAGGCATACATTGAAATTTGCCCCAGTGCAGCTCCAAGCCAACACGCGCGCCAGTATTCGCTATTTCGCTCAATAGAGATTGTTGGGTGTTGCTTGGTCTGTCCCACCAATAATTCATCCTTGACATACAGCAAAATAATTCATATGCTATCTGTAAGTGCCTTTCGCACCCCAGCATCGACCAAACGCGCAGCATCTCTGATTATCATGGTCATTCCCACTACGTGCAAGAAGGGGGATAGGGAACCGCCTTGAGAGATTCCAGGGAAGTGTCTTCTTTCCGTC